AGCTCGAGCGTGGAACTCCCCGCTCGAGCGTCAGACACAGACTCACGCTCGAGCGTCAAAAGCGCCGCTCGAGTGCCGGATGCACATTTCCAGAAGTTTTGCAGACCATGGTCCCCGCTCGAGCGTCAGACTCCCCGCTCGAGCGGAGGAACAAAAACGAAAGGGCTCGCTCGAGCGTCAAAACTCCTGCTCGAGCGTGCGATAACCTGCAGAGAAAAATACCGACAGATGAATATTCACACTCGAGCGTCAAAACGCCCATTCGAATGGAGAAGCAAAAACAAAGGGCCCGCTCGAGCGTCAAAAGCTCCGCTTGATCGTGAAGGCCAAAATCTGGGCAACAACCTTGGGTTTCTAAACACAACCAACCTATTCGAAGCCCGCCCAACACAACCCAAGACTCAAATACAAAGAGTAAAGGATGAAAATGAGAATAAGACAACAACATTACCACGAAACCAAGTCCGGAATACAATAAATGAAGGAAGGGAAAAACCGGGATCACTATAGAGGGTGAGTGGGTGAGTGAGTGAGTGAGTGAGAAAGAGTGAGAGTAAGAGTAAGAGTGAGAGAGATGTGGGAGGAAAGGTTGGTCTTCAGCAATTGGCGGGTAGATACCGTCGTTGAGCGAAGAGAGAGAAAATAGAGATAGATGGAGACTGAGAGGGGGAGAGAGAGAGTGTAAGAGAGAGAGAGAAGGAGAGTGAAGACAGAGTGAAGAGTCAAGATGATTTTGGATCATTCATTTTAACCGTTAGAAATGGTTGAGATGGACGGTGGTGATCTGTCTTGGAAAGGCAAAAAAGTTGTTGTGCTCTTTTTGCTTGAAAAAAAATGTTTCAAATTAGTACAAACAACAACTATAAATGTTTCAATTTTTCATTTTTTATATTTGTCTAGTCGAGAATAATGTAAATATATAATTTTTTTAGAAACAATCAAAAAAAATCACAAAAGGCAAAAAATAAACACACACACACACAAACAAAAAATAATAATAATAAAATAAATAAAAAAATAAAAACATATATCCAAACAACACCTACAAACTTAGAGGAAAAGTTAGTTGAGGTTTGCCAAAATAACATGTGACCATTAGAGCACAATTGTTATAATTTGGTAAAATAATACTATTTATTGTCAAATTATAACAATGACAATAATATTTTAGCAAATACCTTTAGAGATGCTCTAATGATGCTTAGTGTTCTCTATCATTCTAGTATAAATTGTCAACAAAGCAATTAAAAATGTCAGCAGCCTATCTGGACCAGTTGAAGAAGACTTATTATTTGTTTAAGGGAGAAGGATCCTCTCCAGTGCAGATTTTGAACTGAAGGGTGTTGTTTAAGTTTGTGGGATTCACCACGGATCTCATTTTGATGATTTTGAATTGTTCATTTTGTCAGAAATTTTGTGTATTTCATTCACTCAAAAAATTAGGTCGATCCGATAATTGTAATTTATTCAATTTTTCACTAAAAAAATAGACAACAATTGTGTTCTTAAAAATAAACCATATATTTTTTTAATGACAAACGTAATAAATTGAATAAGTTATAGTTATCAGATCAATCAAATTTTTTTGTGAATGAAATACACGAAGTGCTTGACAAAATGAACAGTTTAGATCATTGAAACAGGACCAGTGGTGTGCCCCACAAGTTCAAACAACACTCTCCAATCCAAAATCTAAACTGGAAGGGATCTGTAGTGGGCCTCACGGACTCAAATAACACCCTCTAATCCAAAATTTGGACTGAAGCGAATCCTTCTCCTTATTAAAAATGAATCTTAAATTCAATATCTTTTTATGAACAATCAAGAAAAAATAAACAAATAAATAAATAAATAAAATGGCATGCTATTGGAAATGCTAACTAAGGGGAAGTTTTGTTCCACTTTACATGTGAAATGACAAGATCAAGGTGCCACAATTTAGTTCAAAGATCAGCCGTTTTAGAGGAGATGTTACATTCGGATGGACTAAACCCGGATCTCAAATTTTTTTTAATTAAATATTAGATTATATATTTTATTAGACCAATCCTAAGACTATATCCGCAAAATAAACATTTTCGTGAACAAAATTTGGGAATTAGCCACAAGTCAAATTAAGACAATCTGGAGACAAGTTATGGCACAATAATTGTCTGCTAATTCAACTCAAAAACTACAGGGAGAGGAATCCAAACAACAAAATGCATGATTGCCCCTTTAGCATTTCCGATCCGATATACGGGTTTCTCCCTCAGGTCTTTTCAATCCGGAGCCGGCTAGGAAAAGGTTGAATTCGCTTGAGGTGTGAAACGAATTGAAAATTAAAAAAATTAAATTTTTTATTTTTAGTATTTTTATTAGTGATTTTTTAAAAAAATTTACACACTTTTTTTTTTTTAACTTTTTAGATTTACCTAATTGAGATAAACTTAAAAGTATAATATTTGTGATTTTTTTTATATAAAAAAAAAAAGATCGACCAAACACAGAATAAAAAAAACGAAAATTTAATTTATTTTCATATTTTGTTGTATTCATTAAATTTTTTTTCAAAATTTTTTATACAAATTTTATATTTTTAAGTATCTCAAGATAAAGTTGATTTAAAAAATAAAAATAAATAATTAAAATATTTTTAAAATTACTAAAAATATAAAAATACAAATTAAAAAGTTAAAAATTTATTTTTAAAAATTCTAAACCAAGCAAAGTGCGTTGAGACTAGGAATGTTGTAATAGTATTCCCCAAACGAAAGTAGTTTTCTCCTCTTCCAACTAATAATAATATAGTAAAAAGATTTGTAAGTGAGTTAATGCAGACCGGTCTTTTCTTAGAGTTCGGATCCCCTCCTTGCAATTTCTCCTTACAATTCTCCTTGCAACGGTTGAAATCAGCTGCTAAAGAAATTGAAATCAGCCGTTGGATGTTACAACAGCTAATCTCAACCGTTACAAGGAGGATTGCAAGGATGGGATCCCAACTCCTTTTCTTAAGTGAAAAGAAAGATTAGAATTTAGTTAATTGCTTAACGTTGACACCTCAAATTTTTCCATGCAAACAAAATTGTTTTGAAAAGATAGTTAAAAGTTGACTTTTGAATTATTTTGACTTTTTTTTAAAAAAAATTGTGTAAAAAATATGAAATATAATGTGATTCAAAATAGATTAAAAATAAGAAAATGATTTTTAACCATCCTTCCAAAATGATCCAAACAGCAAATAGATGGAAAAGAAGTGGAGATGATTTCATGGTATGGACCAAAGATGACAATGTGAGTCTTTCTTTTTTTTTGGGCAAATTACACTAACAGTCCCTATAATTTGGGACTCGTGTCATTTTGGTTCCTGACTTTTCAATTGTGACACATTTGACTCTATATTTTGAATCTTGTTCCAAATAAAGACAATTGAAGATACCATTGCTTAATTTCAAGGGCAAAATCGTCAATTTAATAAAATATAAACTAATTTGATAAAAATAAATGTCAAAAAAATATTTTTAAATTTTTTAAAAATTATTTCTACACACCAAAGATAAAATTATGTAAAATTGATAAATCTTTTATTTATTTATTTATTTTATGAAATTAATTTTTATTATGTGTTTGAAAGATGATCATGTAATAGATGGTTGTTAAGATTTTAATGTGTAATCGATATATTTAATATATAAAATATTTTTAGTTTTGGATTTTTTTTAATTTAATGTATTGGTTTAATAATGATATCAAAATTATCACCACATTTGACTTTTGAAAAAATAGAAACTAATTTAATGAAAATAAAAATAACCACCCACTACATAATCATCATCCAAACACATCATGAAAATTAATTTGGTAAAGAAAATAAATAAATAAATGTTTAAAAAATTTATCAATTTTATATAATTTTATCTTTAGTAGGTAGAAATAATTTTTAAAATTCAAAAATATTTTTTGACATTTATTTTTATCAAATTAGTTTATATTTTATCAAATTGATGATTTTGTCCTTGAAATTAAGCAATGATATCTTCAATTGTCCTTATTTGAAACAAGATTCAAAATTTAGAATCAAATGTGTCACAATTGAAAAGTCAATGATCAAAGTGACACAAGTCTCAAACTATAAAGACCGTTAGCCTAATTTGCCGTTCTTGTTTTTCTTAAGAGTTAAGCTTCTTATCTAAATCCATGTTTGGTTTGATGGGTGGCTAAGATTTCATTGTTTTGTTAGAGTGTTTGTTAGTACATTTGTACATGATCGGTCCAACACTTTTTGGGACTTTACATGAAATCTCAAAGGGGGCTTTTTTTATGTTTAAAAAATATATATATTTTTTATTTATCATTCATTTTCCTTGCAAATCTATTCTAGATGAGATTTGTTGATTAAGGAAAACAATGTATTAATCAATAATTTTTGGTTTTTTTATTTTTATTTTTTATGAAGCATTTTCAAATATATGAAAGATAAAAGTTTAAGATCTTCAAAAACACGTAAGGCATGGGTCAGCCCTGTTCCTTATACTATCGAACTGAAAATGAAACGACATTCAGTTTGTTTGGTTTAGTTTGTGAAAAATATTTTTCAGTTTTTTATTTTTCATTTGTGGTTTTAGTAATTTTTTTCATATTTTAATCATTTTTTAAATGTAACTAATCTGAATATACTTAGAAAGTAAAATATTTTTAAAAAATACTAAATATAAATAAATAAATAAAAATATACTGATTTTTGTATTTTTTATCTAGTGAATTGTTTTAGATTTCTTCACAAATATGTTATTTTGTATATACATTTAGATTAAGTGAATTTAAAAAAAAAAATTAAATAAAATGATAAAAATATATATATCAAAAAAATTTAAAATTCAAAATTTGAGTCTGAACACCAAACCGCGTCAAGCCTATTCCTTGGTCACCAAGTCATTTTTACACATCTTCATACTTTGTTTCCACTTCATTTCCATGCACTTTCTTCCAAGTCTTCAGCTTTATAAAACGCAAAAACATTCCTCTTATCTTCATCTCAAACCAAAAAAGTCCCCAACAATGGAGAACGTTCCACCCAAATTAGTTGAAAAAACAGAAGAAGAAGATGAGCTTTCCAACATCAGCCTCCGGCTGTTCGATTTGTCTGACGTCGACGACTTCATGGTGTGGGCTACAGATGACAAAGTCATCCAATTTTGCTCATGGGATACAGACACTTACGCATCCAAAGAAGCTACCATGAACTATATTGCTAATTTTGTGATCCCTCACCCATGGTACAGAGCAATTTGCCTCAACGGCCGGCCCATCGGTGATATTGCCGTCTCACCAAACAGGTACGGACATAGCCATGCATGTTGTGTCCTGTTCTGTAATTGAGTTATTTGCATTTAAAAATTTTCATGGAGAAATTTGTTTTAGTTTTAACGAGCCAAACATGAGTTGAGCATGAGTTTATAAGTATATAAGCTTATTGAGTCAAGTAGTTATTTGTTTATTTGAATTGAAAACTTAATAAATTTAAAATTATGTTCAAGTTTGACTTATTTTAACGAGCCAATTTGGAATAAGTTTCTAATGAACTTGAATTCAAGTAATCTTAAAACTAATTTTTATTTTTTTGAAAAAAAAATAAACAGAACACATAGGGTCTATTTGGAAATCATTCCGTTTTCAGTTTTCAATTTATATTTACAAAAATTTTAAAAACTGTCATAAAAACTTTTTTGATAATTTTTTTGGTTTATAAATGGTTGTCTTAGCTTATAAATTTGAGAAAAAACGTAAACTCAAAAAATGAGTTCACATTTTCAGTTTTCAAATTTTTTTTCAAATATTTTTTTTTTCAATTAATTTTTTGTTTTCAAATAATTTTTTTTTCAAATAATTTTTTTTTCAATTCATTTTTTTCCAATTAAAATTTTTTTCAATTATTTTTTTAATTAATTTTTTTTTCAATTATAATGTGTGTGATCCCATTGTCATAAATAATAAAAATAAATATGAATATTTTAGTCCTGAACAAACATGTTTTTTAGTTTATGTTTTTTAAATTTTTTAAACATTTTGTTTAAACCAAACGCGTTTATAATTTATGTTTTTTTTAAAATAAACAAAAACCAATTTATAAAATTTTTATAAACATAAACAAAAAACGTAAACGTTACCAAACGCTACATAATATGAAATTACAATGTATCATGTAAAAATTTATTTGAAGAAATTTTATAAAACTAGATAATTGATTGACAATGACTTGTTGAATTGACCCCGCTAAACAAAATTTCTAACTACGGCCCTGCAAACAGGGGAAATGACAGTTGTAGAGCAGAGATCGGGTATGTCTTGGGCTCCAACTACTGGGGAAGAGGAATCGTCACGCAGGCGGTGAAAATGGCAGCTCGTAGTGTGTTTGTTGAGTGGCCACACTTGGAGAGGCTTGAAGCTCTAGTGGATGTTGAGAACAAGGGGTCACAGAGAGTGTTGGAGAAGTCTGGGTTTCAGAGAGAAGGTGTTCTAAGAAAATATTATCTTGAGAAGGGGAGAGCTAGGGATACGGTGATATTTAGTTTGCTTTCTACTGATCCACTGATAAATTCCTTCATGTATAGTTAGCAGGATTTTCATTGATTTGTACGTGGATTTTGGACTAATGTTTCTAGAAGTTTTTGGTTGAGAATAGGAAATGTTTTTATGGAAATTAAACACATAGTTTGGGCTTCAATCATTAAATGATAACGTCATGTAAGAAGCATTGTTGCAAATTCTATTTAGATGTGTTTATATTATAGATTTAAAAAATTTAGATAATTTTTTAAATGGGAAGAGAATGTGGACTAAATATAAGTTCAATTATTATCCATTTTTCTTATCTTTTCCTTTCTCTTTTTTAATTTTATCTAGGATCATGATCTATTTTTCTTATCTTTTCCTTTTTCTTTTTTAATTTTATCTAGGATCATGATTTAAACGCAATTTAAAAAATTATATACATGAATGAGATATATTGCATTTTTTTTTTCTAATCACAAACTAGAGCAATTTGACAATGATAATTTGTTACAAACTCAATAATAGACTGGTTTGGTAGAGCTTATACACTGTTTTACTTCAGCTTTTAACTTAATTTAAGCTAAAATGTTGTGTTTGGTACAGCTTAAGTTAACCAACTTATAGTTTAAATTAAGTTATTTCCTAACTTATTTCAAAAACTGGTCAGGAGGTGCTTAAATTTTTGACTTAAGTGTGCAGTTGGTGTGGGGGAAACTAAAATTACTTAAATGCCTTCGTCAATACCCAAATTTTAATATTAATATTAATTAAAAAGAAAAAATTGTATATTTCTGAAGAAAAAGAAAAAAAATCAATATTAATTAAAAAATCAATATTAATTGGTATTAATTATTAATAAATTCATATTGTGATACTAACTAATAATAATTGTTGATTATTAATATTAATAGATACTAATAAAAATTAATAATTAATATTAATTTATACTAATTAATAATTTTAGTATTAATTGAGACTAATTAAGCCATTAATTTTATTACACCTTTATCAATAGATTAAAAGATTTAAATTGTCAATTTCTAAACACACGAGTAGCTTGGTGGTTGCCAGGTTGACACCTCCGTGATATTACTATTTAATAATGAACCTTGCTTCAGATCCTCAGTGGGGGTCCGACCCCCAGTGACGTGTCAGCACGTCATTCACTGAAAACAAAAGAAAAAAAAAAATTTTTTTTTGGCCATTCCCGGCTCGACACGCACGACCCCCTAACACTCCCACTGGGGGTCGAAAGCTTTATTCTTTAATAATAAAGCATTGTATAAGAGTATCCTCGTCAGACTCGTTAAAATCGTTTTTTTAACTAATAAACTTCAAAAAAATTAAGTTCATCAAATTTGTTTGTAGCTCGTCAAAATTTATGATTGCTACAGTATCTTGTTACAACAAGCGAGGTACTGTTCATCGCTAGATTAGTGTTATCGGATGTTCGCCTGAAAGTTCAGCCGGTCAATCGATCAACGGCAATTATTTTTTATTTTTATTTTTTTTACATTTTTTAAGAATTGTTTGGCTGGTAACTTATTAATTTAATAAAAAAAAGAAAAACTAACAAATACAATAAAAAAATAATATTTTAATAAGATTAAGTTAGAATAGAGAGTTTGATGCAGTAAATACTAAGGCCCCGTTTATTTTCAGAGGTAGAATGGAGGGGATTGATAGTGAGGAGATTGTTAGTGAGGGGATTGATAGTGAGGGGATTAAGTAAAATTGTGTTTGTTTTGATGATAGTTGTTAGTGTAGGAATTGGTAAATTATTTTTATATAAAATAATAAAACAAATAAAAAAATATAAAAAATTAAACATTAATATTTATAAAAAAAATTCCCAATATATAACAAATAAAAAAAATAAAAAAAACTTTCTAATTCCTTCACTATTTTTCTAATACCATCTCCCCAACATCCATCTCAATCCCCTCCCCAACCTCCATCTATATCACCTCCACCATCCTATTCTCCTCCACAACTCTACAAACAAACACAACATTAAATAACACCTCCACCATCCTAATCCCCTCCCATCTACTTAACCCCAAAACAAACGGGCCCTAAGAGGTAACTAGCTAAAATAGTAAAATAACTTTAATTTGACTAAAAATTTGAAGAAGTTGGTGTGGATGCTCAAAGAGGCATGCACTTATCCTTCTTATCTTATTTTTAGAAAATGTTTGAGAATTAAATTTATAATGATGTGATTTGATAAGTGTCAATTTTTAATTGATTACACACTCAATGATATGGGATCCACAACCCTTGTCACATCATTGTGAATGCATCTGTGTATTTGTGAGTATAAAATGTGGGTCTCTAGCGTTGTTGGTCTGTGTAAGAAATTAGCTTCGTCGGATATCAATGAATACATTAATAAATCACTTTTTGTTTTATAAAATAAAATGTTTAAATTTAAACTCACAATTACTGTTCATTTTAAAAAATAAAATGCAATTTATTTATGCATCTATTGATATATGATGAAATTAATTTTTTGCATACCTCATCTAAATTGTTGAGATTATGAGATGAACGGTTTATATTATCAATGTGGACTTAGAATGGAATTCAAAAAATAAAATATGAAAAAGTATAAAGGATAAGAGTATAGATAAGAGTCCTGCCTTATATAAAAGTAAGGGAGTGAATTTCACTATTTAAATGTAATTACTAGGAGTGAGCTGCAGATATATTGATTTGTCCAAACCGATCAAATCTAACCAATCTGCCGCATTTTGGATAGACACATAATGATGAGCAGACGGTTGTAGATTGATTTTTTTCAATCTGCCTAGTTTTGGACGGATGGCGGATTTGAGGTTCCTTTGGCAGCAAATGAACCGCCAAACCGCGAGCATCCCTAATAATTTGTAAAACTATGTATTTTCAATTTGTTTAGATATTCTGTTTGTGTTTTCAATTAAAAAAGAGTTTAAATATTCTATTGAATATATTCTATTGAAAAAGAGTTTTCAACTTGAATATACTTTTTGAATTGAAAAAAAATAAATGTATTATTTATCTATATTTTTTTATTTTTAAATCTAATTCTAAAAATAATAAATAAAAAAGATGATATATACTGGTTGTTTTTTGTTTTCAAAAACAGATATAGATGTAACAATACAGAGACATATAATCTCTACTACTGCTCTGTTTATAATTTTGATGTTTTGAATTGTTTTTATATTTTAAGAACCACAGATTGTAATACTTCATGTAATATTTTATGTGGATGAAGCATACTGTGATTGTAATATATGAATGAGACATGCAGTGATTGTAATACTTTTTTAAGTTATTGACTGTATTTTTTTTTTTTTTGAGGAAATGCACAAGTTGAATTATGTTGAAAATTTATAAAATTTTAAACTACCAAACCGATTCCCATCCATCCGCCAATCCGTCATTCCACTCAATCCACATCCGCCGGATTGGCGGACGAATGCGAATTGATTTTCTCCAATCTGCCAATCTGGCAGATAAATGACGGATTAGAGGTTCCGTAGCTGCAATCGACCCGCTCCCACCCTTAGTAATTACATTATTCAAATGGCTTAATTTTGCAAAAATTATAAGAGTCAGATTTTAAGCGATTTATTTTATTTTATTTTTTTGTCTATTTTGAACTAGATGATTCTAAAAATTTAAATCAACTTTTAAATAAATAAAAAAAATCATGAAAGAAGAAAATATTTAAAAGAAGAAATTATAAAATAAAAAAATCTTAAGGTTTGACCTTTATAATAAAATATTTCTAAATTTTTAATTTTTATCAATTAAAACCCAATTTTTTGATTTATTTTTAATTTAAACTATTTATCTATTTTCGTTATTTCTTTGTCTCTCTAAAAAAAGGAAATTTGACTAATAATTTATGGGATTCACCTAAAGATTGTTTGATTGGAAACTTGAGTGAGGGGATTAAGGCCAAGTTTGGGAAGTCTCAAATAATCCATATTTTTATTTTTTTATCTTTTTTCCATCACATCACCTCTCTACTTTTCTGCACATCTTTTCGTAAAAAGACAAAAAGTACACTTATTTAGGTCATCCCAAACAACCCCTATCTCCTTGGACTAATAATTTCTCCATTAGTAGGACTACCAATCCCATGTGAAGGTTTGGATTAAAAAGTTAGTGAAAGAATTAGGGAATTTTTAAATAATTTATAAGCTAAATTTATATTTTTTAGAACACAAAATAAATATAATATTAAAAATTATAAAATATTAATACTATTTATAGTATTATTAATTTGATAGTATACAAATAAATATTATTTATTGTATATTTCCAATCTTATCATACTCTTAATTTCCTCTATTTTATGGAGCCAAGCAAATGTAATCTAAGTAAATTATCAAAAAATATATTTTAATCATATAAAATGTCTATAAAAAATTAATATCAAAAAATATATTTTAATCATATAAAATCTCTATAAAAAAATTAAAGATAAAAGCAAATAAAATTCAAAAATCCAACTCCAAAAAAAAAGGGGAAATATCATTTGATTTGAGTATAAAGTTAGGGAAAACATGTACAAATTAATACTCCCTCCGTCCTAAAATAATGGTCTTTTTTAGAGAATTTAACTTTTTTTGATAGTACAATTATTGTATTTTAAAAAAAGTTAATTTTCTAAAATTACCTTTTTGATAGTAAATTTTTTTAGAGAATATTAATGTCATAATTGTACTTTTTATATTGTTTATGAATTTAAAAGAATGGCAAAATATGAAATTTATATTATTTTTATACTTAATTTTGAAGAAGGACTAATATTTTGAAATAATAAAAAATAAAATAAAAGATTAATATTTTAAAATAGAGTAAAAGATTTTTTTACATTAAAAGTTTCATAAAATTTTTCCATGAAATTGACATTTATTTTTGAACTTGTCATTGATTTGTTAAAAATATATATATATATATGTTTGATTGGATGGTGGGGCGTCTCCTCTGACGCCATCCAATTCGTCACCCCAACTTGTCCTCCTCCGTCGCCGGCGACGAGTACCAACGAAATTCGATGATAATGAGAGCGCTAGGGTTAGGGTTTCGGGGAGCAAAATTAGGGACAGAGCCATTGGTGTTGAAGTCCGAGGATTGGGATTGGAAGTTCATGGACTAGCCTTTGATGGACCATCTTGAAATCTTCAACAACAAAAGTAAGAAAAAAAATTTTTTCCTTAAATGGCTTCTGCCATTGAATTTGAACTTGAAATTACAGTCTA